AAAAATCGCGTTGATTTTTGATAATTTTTTTTGCTGACGGTATCACGCATTTTCTTCCATACAAAGCAATTTTTTATATGGAAAAGAATGCATACCACCGTCAGAAAAAAAAATTATCAAAAATCAACGCGATTTAATAAGCTATAAAACTGCATACCAAAAATTATTCTAGAAATTAAAATTAAAATGCTTGGAATTGGGATGAAAAGTTTGTGAAATTTTTATAATTTTTGAACAAAGTCTGAAATTTAGATTTATATGGTATTTATTAGATAAAGAGCTATACTTTTATATAAAAATAAAGAACCTTAAAAAGGCAAAAGAAAAGTAGTCAAAACTGGTAAAAATGTAGGTGTGCTATCTTTTGTCGCGGGGTGTAGATAGTCAAAACTGGCCAAAATGAAAAAGGTGCTATAACTTTTTGCAGTTGCTTAATCTCAACATTGTCAGTAGTTCTAAATTCAACCGTTTTAAGTTGCAAAAAATAACAGTTTGAAAATTTCAAAGCAGTACTTTTTGCAACTTAAAACGGTTGAATTGAGAACTACTGACAGTGTTAAACTAAAATGAATTCAATACTAATAAAAATTTGTTTAATATTACTACTATTAAATGCATAATAAAAGTATTTCATACTTACCAAAACTCATAGCGATGGCATTTCGAATAGTCGCTGCTAGTTGGTCATTGTTTCCAATCCTTATAGATTGATTGGGTTGATTTCTGGTTGCTGCGTCTTCTGCAGAGTCTTGCAGCCAGACGGAAGAAACTTCGTCATTCTCAGTTTTTAAAAAATTGTGCAAAATACAGCATGCTCTTATAACAATGTTGACATTTTTAGCCGCTACCTGTAAACCTCTGCCTATTCTTCGGAAACGGGCTTTCAGCTGCCCGAAAGCATTTTCGATCAGTCGACGACATTTGGAAAGTCGATAGTTGTAGAGTTTTTCAACAGCCGGTTGATTAGCTACATATGGGTATGGTTTCATCATGTGGCGCGATAAACGAAAGGCAGAATCGCCAATAAGTAGCACAGGCACATTGACGCCGTTAATAACTTTGCTATTTTGTACAAAAATATCAGCACTTTCATGGAAATGCTTTAACGAACTTCTTTCAAATATGTACGAGTCATTATTTTTCCCAGTTGATCCAATATTTAAATACGTAAATTTTGATCTGCAAAGTCTGAAGAAATATAATATATGTACATATCTATACAATAAAATATACTCATAAATTTACCTGTGATCACAGCTTGCCAATAAAACCACAGAATACCATCCTTTGTAGTTGTAGTAATCTATCGCATCCTCTTTTCTTGGCTGAACCTCGATGTGGCAGCCATCTACAGCTCCGAAGCATTGCGGGAAGCCCAGTTCTGCGAACCCGTCTACGATTATTTTGATTTCTTGTGGATGGGGGGAGTATGTACTAATGTATTCTCCAAGATTATTGCATACTGCATGGCAAAAATCCAGGACAATTTTACCAACAGTACTACGGCCAACGCCGAATAAACTGCAAACTGTCCTGTACTCCGCTGCCGAGCCCAAAGAGAAAAGTGCGATAGCCACTCTCTTATCGAGTGGAATACAACGCCTCATGTTGTTATCCATTTTCTCAATACTGCGCACTTTATCGCACACTTTTTGGAAACCCCTTCTATCGAGACGAAAGTTTTCCCTAAATCTTGTATCATCCATTGCACGGACGTCGTACTCCCAAAATGTGACACTGCGATTCTTGAAGGGTGGAATTCATGAATTGCAGTTTAATAAAAAAGACATAACTTACGAATTTCCAAACTTCCCGTACGCGTGCCTGAGCAATTGCAATCCCGGATTGTAGGATTGCGCTACTGTTTATGAGAGCTTTCATCCGAGTTCGGTTGTCCATTAGTTTAATTAATAGTAGTTTCATTTTTTCATTAAATAAATATTGATTTCTTACAAACAGCATAGCTGCCAATAACAACATTTTTCTTTTATCCATTTTAATTTCACAATTTTAGCAAACAAAATGTACGTCAATATCAGCTGTTTAAATGCACAGAGTTGTCGTCTGTTAGGGTGATATTTTAAGTTGCATTTGTGCTTCTGAATGCAAATCAACTCAGGCCGTTTGTCTAGGCTTTTAGGCTCCAATAGTCTGTAAGAAATTTATGTTTCATAGACTTTAATAATAATAATAAATATCTATCTCGATTCGTTTTGCCTGTTACAAACAACCGTTATGTGAACAAGGTTATAATACCCTTGTGCACAAGTGTGCTCGGGTATAAATATTGGTCAAAATAAAAAAATCATGTCCACACTCGCATTGAACTGTATAGCGTGAGCTTTATTGTAATTTTTGTTTATGTTCTGCCAACACCGCCTTGTATAATTCGCCTTGGCTGGTGGTGATTAGATTTGTCTTCGTTTGTACTACATACATATATCCATGCATACAAACATAGATATGTACATACATACAAACATGTCTATTGCTGTCCATAAGTACGTACATACATATGTTCATCATTATATCAACGAACCACGTTTGCTTCATCATACATCTATCCATACAAACATACATACATATCTATGTACGAATGTACACCAAGCACGCTTGCTTCGCTTGCTGCAGTGAAAAGCCAAACCAGTTAGAAAAAATACTAGTTCATTAACTACGATGTGCCTACCAGTTCGCCAATTTCGAAGAACTTAGGCGATCAGCGACATCTGCCTTTGAATTGCCAAAGCCAAAAATTAAACGCAATTAATTGCTTTTGTTACAAATGTCGGCTGTGGCGTCACGTGAAGACTACTGGTTCTGGTTCGGAAATCTCAGGTTCGAGGCCGCTTGGAGGTGGTTAAGGATTTTTAAGTTAAATAATTGTAAGTAAAAATAATTTATTCAATTTATAAATAAATAACAAATTTGAAAAAAATTTTCCCTGCGCCAGGATTTGAACCTGGGTACTCAGGCTTACCACGCGAGTGCATTGCTCTGTCGGCCATTGTGACTTCTGGAGCATCGCGAGCAAAAAGGCACACTTATGCTTTTCACGGGGCATGAATTGGCAGACTATCTCATCAACTGGTATGATGCTACTAGTATTTCTACTAGTAGATGCTGATGCATAGCCTGACAATTGACATCTCGTAGGACATCGCAATGTTAAAAATACCAGTCGCTAACATTGAAAAAGGATAGAACGTGAACTAATTGGGCTGAAAGGCAAACTGGTCGAATTCTAGTTCACAACTAGTAGCTTTCCCTGCAGGGTATATATGTACGTTAAAGTGGTCCAAAAATGTATGTAAAAAAAAAATAAGGTCGCATTTTTAATGCCGCCAGCCCCTAGGATTGTTCTATACCAAACAAAAATTTACCAGTATTTTTTTATTTTGAAATAAAAAAAAATTAGAGTGTGCTCAAAGCGCTCAAAGTTTTTAATGTATTTTATATGGGGAAAAAACAACTTTTCGTAGAAATAGGGTAGAATTCTTGAAAATCAATATTTTTCGATCGGAAAACTTTGGTTATCTTCAAGAGATTCCCGGTAATAATACCCAATTTTTCCTTTAACCATTTTTTAATGGTAACTATATTTTATAGGTCCTTGAAAATGCAATGGGGGGACCAATAAAAAATCTTTAATCATAAAAAATGGTTAAATAAACAATTAGATACTAGTATTTGAAGTCTCCTGAAGAGAACCACAGTTTTACGATTGAAAATATTGATTTTAAAGAGTTTTATACCATTTTTACGAAAATTTGTTTTTTCCCCATATAAAATACATGGATAACTTTGAGCGCTGTGAGCACTCCCTAAACATTTTTTGATTTCAAAATAAAAAAATAGGGGTATATTTATTTTCGGTTCAGAACAATCCTAGGGGGTGGCGGCATTAAAACTCCGACTTTATTATTTTGGACCACTCTAATGTACGTATGTATGTACCCTGTTGGGAAAATCTCTAGTTTTGAACTGGTGCGCTTCTAGTCCATTTAGAACCACTACTAGTTCGCGATAAATCTCTTTTGCATGCAAACAACTGGCGAATTTAACACGGCGATGTCATAGGATTTGGAAATTGTCCCCCTCTGCATTACCTTTTCTATAGTTCAGAACCAGTCCTAAATTCGACTTATGGGATCTAGTTCGCTTTGCACCCCATTTTCTATAGTTCCGAACCAGTTGTAAACGAAAAAAATAACAAGATGTTTTCTTTTTGGGTTACCATGGTAGCAATTTTTAATTATTTGCAGAGAAATGTATTTTCAATCTGAAATCAAATTTGTTTAAAAGACTATAAATTAAATTTTGCATTTGAAAACACGTTTACATACCTTTGGCGGAAGCTGAATTTGCAGAGATGCTCGATGTTATTGGTTATATTCCAGATGGTCACCAAATGTTAAGATGTTAACACAAATTGTAGTTTTGTATTACCAAACTATAAAAAAGCATCTGCGACGTGAAGACTGAAAGCGTATTTGAACGAAAAACCCGCCAAGCAAACATCTTTTTAAAGTAAACAAACCCCCCGCTGCATCTCTTTTTCAGTAGTTTCGAACTAGTTCAAAATTCGCCAGATGAGATCTAGTTCGTTCTGCATCCCTTTTTCTATAGTTTTGAACCAGTTCTAAATTCGTCATTTTAGATATAGATTTCTAAAATTGTTTTTTAAAAGTACCACATATCGCTGCTTTTGAACTGGTGGCCATCTAGTTACTATCGGACTGGCTCGTTTTTGGTGATAAAGATCTAGTACGGAACTACAAATTTGGTTCACCAGTTCGGGGTTTCCCTACAGGTTAAGTACTCGTATGCATGCGCGTTGAAGATTTTTGTGCTATCGCTTTGTATTGCTGTGCATACGTCGTTTTCTTTCTTTTTCCCCTTTATCTATACTCTAGCTTCCTTCTTACTCATGTAACGTTTTCACTTTTTTTTTGTTTTTGTTATTTTATGGCCTTATAACAATTATATTCAACAATTTTTATTGAGCTCGAGGCCGTTTTTTTTTGTAATGAAAACTTATTGCGGAAAAGTAACAATAATTTGATAAAATGGTAGAAGTGATAGCTATTTCGGAAATCACCACATTTCCTCATCAGACTTCTTTCAGTAGGATTCGAACCGACGATCCCACTGACTCAGCCAGTTGCCTACGCACTGTGCTAAGTTCGCCTTGTTAATTCTTGTT